GAAAATCTCAAAGTCCGTGAACGCGTGAACACCGCAAGACAAAACGACGTCGAGAGACAACGAAACGTGCAAGTACACGGAGAAAAATAATTTTGCTCTTTTAACAAAATCATCGTTGCTACTGCATATTCGTAGTGATATCAAGCAAATTTAGTTGATGTAATTCATTTTACAAATTATTCGTTATCAGAGTAGAAGTAGTTTCGTTGCCAGGATAGAAAAGATTTGTTGAGTGTATTTATCCTAAGAATTACGTTAATTTGCTATTGATGCAAAATAATGTATCCTTAGCAAATTTATTTGCTATCGGAGTAAAACTGCAATTGTTTGTATAAATCCATCATGGTTCTTATAGCAAAATAATTTGTAGATTCAGCAAATTATATCCAGCAAATAGTGATTAATACTCTTAGCAAATCTTTTTGCTGTCCATATAATAACGAAAAGATTTTGCTAGACCAACAGAAAATTTGCTGGGCCAGCAAATTATTTTTCTCCGTGTACGTCGAAAAAGGTACGTTAAAGTGTGCACTCATTTAAACCATAATATTTAAAATTATGCGAAATTTTAACATAACATTTATTGCAGTAAAACGCATTCGCAGATAAAGTTTCATGTGATCCATCTCTGCACCGTTTGCAAAAAATTTAATACTTAATGTCACCATTTTGCATATACATTTTGTATAATCTTACGGTAGAGGTAATGTGGATGATTCCGATATAACTTCGTGAAAAGTGACACCATTCAAATTAAGAAACTTTACCGCTATAAATACATATTAAGGGACGTGATATAGAAGAAAGAATAATAATCTTTACACTATTTTTATGTAATGATCTGAATTGTAGACTCGAAAACAGCTGTTTTATGCTTTGAGTAGCATTGCACTGGAAAACTAAAGTTTTCTTCAGAAACAAAACGTCTTGGAATGCAATCTCTTAAATTCCTCAACGGAGAACGGAGAAAAAACTCGGAAAAAGAATGATAAAAAAAAGGAAACTGGAAGAAAATCGGCTCAGCGTGATTTTGTATCTCTATGTTTCATTCACCAGATCCTATTGCCCTTCAATCCCTGATCGTGCTCTGCTGAATGAATAAGTCTTAAGGACGCGCCAGTGACGTCCCGAATCATCCTTTTTAACGAGAAAACGGACGATGTTTGCGGTCGTCACGGTATTTCCCTCGGGATACTTCCCGCCGTGATACTTCTCATGGAGCGTGAAACATCTCCTGGAGTCACGCGCGACGCGTGCCGAATAGGCCGAACACGCGTGCGCGAGAAACCTCCCGCGAGTATTACTCCCGCGAACGGGATAATAAATATTTGTACACGGGCGTGGATGGACGCGACCTCGCCTGTGGGAACATGTCCCTGTTCGATGCGCGCCTTAATAACACCCTGATGCATAATGCATCTCGGTAAGTAACAACTGCTCCCCCGCTGCGGAATGAATGCGAGACGCGCTCTAAGTCTCGCTAAAGTCGCAACATGGAATTATTTAGTCTTGTGAATTAATCGACCGCGCGATAGTAAAGTTGGAAATATAGTGTTTCTCGGAATATATAGAATGCCTCACTCTGTCACATTATTTTATGATGGCAATTCAAAGATGATTTTTCCTTAGCAAAAATGTCGAAGAAGATAATCTTTGCAATTGTCTTTAACACTGCATGGAGAAAAATAATTTTGCTCTTTTAACAAAATCGTCGTTGCTACTGCATATTCGTAGTGACATCAAAAAAATTTAGTTGACGTAACTAATTTTACAAATTATTCGTTAACAGAGCAGAAGTAATTTTGTTGCCAGGATAGAAAAAATTTGTTGAGTGTATTTGTCCTAAGAATCACGTTAATTTGCTATTGATGCAAAATAATGTATCCTTAGCAAATTTATTTGCTATCGGAGCAAAACTGCAACTGCTTATATAAATCAGCAAATTATATCCTGCAAATAGTGATTAGTATTTTTAGAAAGTCTTTTTGCTGTCCATATAATAACGAAAAGATTTTGCTAGACCAGCAAAAAATTTGCTGGGCCAGCAAATTATTTTTCTCCGTGTGTGTACTTAACAATTGAGTTGAAACGTAAGCGAACTCTATCTGAAACAAGCTGAAGAACGTAGATTTGGTGTTCGTTGCAGTTTAACGAAAAACTTTCCTGTTTAAATTCATTGTAATAATTGGAAATTATTTCAATTCAAAAATTAAAATAATTTTGATGTCTCAACATTTTTGCTCAGAGGAAATCTATGCTGAATTGGTCAAAGAACCTGTAATTAAGCAAATTATTTTTTTCAGGTTACAAAAAGCAACAACGTTTAGGAATTTATTTAAAGAAAACTACTAAATGAATATGTTTGAATTTTATACAATATTATATACCATTCCGAGCCTGTGCAGCTTTTTTGCATGATTTTTTATACGTTTGTACAATAATCCAGTCCAGAAAATGAATAAAATTTCTTCCAAAATAGTGTTGTAGTTATTAAAATATATTCATGTATTAGTTTTTTCTTAATTCTCGAATACTTCTGTCTTTTTTCACCTGAAAAGATAATTTGTCTTTAAGATAAAACGCGTCATACATTCATTAGTATTACAAGCAGATGTAAAGAACGCAGCGAGGAATTTCAAAGAGACATGCTCATAAAACACGGTTTGATTAACGATTCACTTATCATCGTTACGACAGCGGCCGTCCGACGTCTCCAATTACACCAGAATCATCGAAACGAGAAAGAAAATAAAGGGCTCGCGATTGTGAAGAGACCCACAATCCTCTTTGAGTCATTAATCCCGCGGGAATTTCTCGAAATCCCCCTCAGTGTCGCCGTGTCGCAGGGAGCGCGCGATAAGTCGGACCGTTACGGATTAGGCGGCGAAATAATATTTCCATCGTGATATCCGCTCGCGCGTCCGAGCGGAGCCGGAGGAGAGTCGAGCCAGCGCGCGGTCCAGGTGTGAGGGAAACGTCATGGCACAATAAAACGTCACTCGCTATTGAGAGGAAGGAGAACGGATCCTTTGCGAGATGCGTGAGCGCCACCCCTAAACGCTGCCTAGATGAATGGGATCGCTATTCTCAGGGCCCTATTTCTATTGCCACCGGGCACAAACGGACGTGAGCGAGCGCGTTTGAGCTCGCGAGGGATGCACCCCGGGCCGGGCTCCGCGCCCCTCCCGTTCACGTATATTTTTCACCCCGCGAGCTCCGCCGAGAAAGAGAGCGAGACAAATACCCTTATTTGTACACATCCTGTGCATTGTGACGTAACTCGGGGCACCCAGGCGGGGCCGACTTCCGGCGAACTCGCGGAACCCGCAGCACCCCCCCGTCGCCCTCTGCACCACCCCTGTCCGCGTTCCCGCTTTATTCTCGGCTCACGATCGCGCCGGTGGGTGGAGCGGGCTCGTGTGTACCTGCCGGATGGACCGGGCTATGTGATCCTCTTCGAGGTGATATGAAAAACTTTGCTGGGCGGGGTGGTTCGCGTCTTTTCCGCTCGAGAATCCGATTCCTTCGCCAATCTTCTTTCTCAAAAGTTCCCCGAGGAGGTGCGGAAGAGGTGATATAGAGCGCGGAGAAGATCTTTCCCCACGGGGAGAATTTTGTAGTAAAAATTGCTCTAGGATCTGGTAACCGAGGAACAGATCGACCTTCTCGACCTGCGCATGCCCGGCCATACGTATCTCGCGAATATTGTTTCTCGGCGCTCTCTTGGACCACCCTCGCTATTATAACCGCGCTCACTGGCCCACCGTAATTATCCACGGTCCGTATGGTCCACGGCATATGGCCCAGAACGCCATCTTACTTCCGACAAACCGCTCCTCGGCGTCGAAAAAAGAAAGGAAAAAAGGAACCGGCCATTTGGCCGGCCGGGCACGGATCGAAATTGACTGCTCGCGGGACAAATTAAATTTCGTCCCTCGTCGCTCGTGAAATCGCGTCGCTCCGTGACGACGCGGCTGGAAGACCGGACATTATCCGCCGGGAGACATTACCCTTTGCCATCGCGCGCGATTTCAATGTTTACCGGGAACCGACAGGAAAGAAAAAAAAACCCACCCGTCAGCTAATAACGCTGTTTACAATCCTTAATCATTTTATCATTAGTAGGGCAGAGCTGCCGCACCGGTTTCCTAAATCGTATCTGATTTTTTGTTCTCTGTAAGACGCACTAAATAATAATATAATTTGAAAAAATTTTATTTACACTTTTCAGTGCAAATTTATTTCTTTTATTTTCATCGGTAGATATCATTTATACTCGATAATAATAAAGAACATGATGAGTTATAATTTAAGAGAGCGGCACGATTTCAGTACTTCATCGTTTTAATTGAAATTGCGTATATTTAATTATTCCTATCAACTGGGTGAAATTAATTTGACTCATTAGCAACAGATTAATGTATCTATTACTCATACATAAAAACTATCTAATCGCCTAATAACACAGTTTACAGATTTTAAATCATTTTATTATTAGTAATTAGAAGATCACGTAATATATTTCATTATTCCTATCAACTAATTGAAATTAATTGAGCTCATCATCGACAGATTAATTAATGCATTACCAATCCGAAGGAACCTTCCTTCCATCTTTTGTCCCTTTTTTTTATTCTGCTCTAGACCTCTTTTCTATTCCGACCCCATCTGCGAGATGCGCCGGCGTCCTTTCGCGATTCCTCCGACCGATTGGCCTACTTTCGCGCAGAGAGTGAGAAAGGGAGAGGAAGCGAGAAAGAGAGAGAGAGAGAGAGAGAGAGAGACCGAGGAATAATTCGGTCAGGATTGGAACTTCGGGGCACACACGATCTGCGGAGGGACCATATGCCGAGGCCGAGGACGGACCGTGCTTCAGGGATCACGGATAATTACAAGGGATGTTCTACCCGGCGTCCCGGCTACGGTCGAGGGTGGGGGACACGCACGAAAATCCGACGGCGGTGGGGGACGCGCGGCTACATAAGGAAGGTCTCGACCCCCGAAGGGTCGCAGTTGCCTCGAAATTTCGGAGCCGGCGTGCCCATGTTCGCCCGTGGCGCATCCACGCTTGTTGTTCACCGTCGACGTGACTGAACGCGAGCCGAGTGACTCTCTACTACGTCGATTAGTGACGGAGTTCCGACTGCAAGTTGTATCGTTTCGGTTTTTCTAGTTTCCCTTTTTCTTTCTTCTCTTTCTGTGGTGACGTACGCGACGAGAGAAGCCGAGGACTCATCCGTCATGAAGAGCGCGTGGTTGATCTTCGCAACGGTGTGCGCCGCGAGCTGCTCGATGGTGATCGGTCTCGACTTAGGACGGATGATCTGGACCGCCCAGTGCCATTCCGAGTGCTTGAGACAATTCGACAAGTACGAGCTGTTAAAGCCGGCCGTGCTCGATGAATTCAATGAGGTAGTTAGCATTGCTGTGTCGCGGAGCGAAGTACACGATCGAATTTACCCGCGGGCCGATTTATAGCGGACGGTGAAAATTATCGAGGCGCGAGTGTCTATTCCTGCAATCTATATAGCGAGGTGCTTTCTATATAGCAATCTATATGGCGAGACGCGATCAGCATAATGTTTCCATCGCTCAGATCGTTTTTGATGAATTTAAGAACGATGCGTGTACAGCACGTTGCTCATTGCGATAATCATCAAAATATCGAAAGAAAAGTTTATTAAATACTGATATTATATGTTACTTCAGAATTTCATATTATATTCATTTGGTGTAATTTTATGGTTTATCCAAATTTTATTTTCCTCTCATTTTTTAGTTTTTCTTATTAATTTTCTAACTCTTGTTTCTGTCTTTCCCGACATGAAAGGTTTTACTAACAAAAAATTTTGCTAAAAAGATGAGAAATTTTTAACAGCACATTTAAGTTTCTGAAGTGGCACATGTAGAAAATGAATGATTAGTCAATTACTGCAGAATGTCGACCCATTTCTTTGAATCGTTACAAAATTCTATAGTAACTTTTAGTATAAAATTCTCTACACGCAGAATATTCATGGAAAGAATCTGCTGCGTTATCTTAGACTTTGTCTCCTCCCAAAAATGAAACGGATCGTCGGAATTTTTATCCGGTAATTTCCAAATCATATCGCACCTTTATCTTATCTTATCCAAAATGTGTCTTCCGCTCGATTTATCCACATCGTGTCCTCGTGAAAAATACGGAATAATCTAGTGGAAAACAATCGCGCGTGCTCTTCTCTCACCACGACGCGACACACGCGTCACGATCGATCGACCAGAAATCGGTCCCGGCGTGCCGATAAATCTCTGGGTGTCGCGCTTTTATTATGGGGCGCCGTAGAAAATGATGTCGCGGTGCCACCCCGTCGATTCTCTCCGAGAGAGAGAGAGAGAGAGAGAGAGAGAGAGAGAGAAAGAAAGAGAGAGACAGAAAGAAAGAGAAAGTGAATGAGGGACACGTCGCGCGAACAGATGGGAATGGCGATTAAGTCGGGGCACAATGCGCGTCGCGAGGGCGTTGCTCGTTCGGACGGGGGTGTCCATTAATTTCGGGGAGATCGATTCCGTGCGGCAGAGAACGCGGACGAGGGAGCGAGAGGGCCCACCCAGACGCGACGAGCCGTTCGAATTTACGCCCGGGTCTTGTGTGACGAATGTTGCCCCACGCGAGGGGGTCACCCCCCTCCAGTTCTGCGCATTAGAATAACGACTCTTCGAGGGGGCGGGTGCGGCTTAACGAACTTAACGCTGCACGGCGTGGTTCCCCCTCATTTTTTCTCATCTCTTCCCTCCTTCACCTCTTCATCCTTCTCCTTCTCGGAGAAGGGACCGATCCGCACGTCGATAACGATGATTTCATCCGTGGACGAAGGGACGTCGCGAAGGACTCTTTTGCGACCACGTGTAATTGTTTTAATCCCCCGGGGGAGGAAGAGAAACTGTCGCGTCACGGCTCACGCGGGAAGTTTCTCTCGTTTTTCCACGAAAACCACGCGAATCACTAATTAATCGACGATGAACATCGCGACGGACAACCAGGAGAGCTCGCGCGTACTCGGCGCGGTATCAGTTTCCTTTGCCGAGTTTCCCCGGTTCCTCGGATCTCACGCTATTAATAAGTCCCGATTCCTCGAGAGACACCCTAAACGACCGTCCCTTTCTTCGCCCATTTATTTCACTTTACGACGCGCGACCCTACAGTCCGTTCGCCGGTCGGTCGCAATACAGAAGAGTCATTGATTTCCAGGGCCGAAGGGGTGGTGCTTTACGACCCTCGAGCGATCGTAACTCGATAACGGGGATGATCATCGATGACACAGAATCGGGACGGGACCAGGGAATATGAAAATTTACCTGTTGCGAAGAGTGTAGTTGATGTCGCGAGACGCGCTGTGTTTCTTTAGCTAACTAACGACCAAGAAATATACATTACGCAAATGATTTAATTAATAACAAGCATCCCTCTCAACACAACGAGCATATAAATGTGCGATAAATTAACATGGTTAAATGTTGAATAATTTAAAAGCTCAAAATGCACAAAATGGCACATTACATCCGCGAAGTTAAATCGCCAGCGCGCAACAATATGTCTGCCCTCACATGTTATTCGTCGCGATCGTGTATCTCGGAATTGCAACGGAATCTCTGCACCTCTGCGCGAAACGGTATAAAACACAAGAACGGAAAAGATCTCCCTCGGGACAAATGAAGCCTTTGCGCGCACAAACGAAACGAAGAAACACGCCCCTCGAAATCAACTTACGGCGTCGAGCGAAGGAAGCTGACCGCCGGGACGTCTCTGAAAGTGTCATTAGCGCAGGACCGCGTCGTTTCTACGAAGAGAATCCGCCTTAGAGAGGATACACGGCGGAGAAGGGTAATCAGGGATCAAAAGGGGAAAAGAGGAAAGAGATAGAAAAAGAGAGAGAATGAGACCGGAAGGGGAGAAATAAAAAGAGAGAGAGAAAGAGAGATAGGAGAGAGGGAATTAGGAAGGGAGGGAAGGAGGGGGAGAGAGAGAGAGAGAGAGAGACCGCGAGAAAAAAAGGGGGGAAAAAGAATTTAGGAACAGGGCCCCACCGAGTCGAGGGTACCCCAATAAATATGAAGACAACAACGACGGTGCCTGTTATGCCTGGAACAGGTTGGAGCTAATTCAGTCCCCCTCTTCTCCCTTTCTCCCTCCTTCTACCGGCGGTTCCACCTTCTTCACGGTGTTTCGCCCTCTTCTTCCTCCCTCGCCTCTTTTCTTCGTGATCGGTTAAATCGCTCGATTCAACGGCTCGCCCGATGTGCTTCGCTTATTCTTCCCTCTTCCCTTCGCTTCTCCGCATCAAACACCCTCCCATCCGCCACTACACCCCTCCGCCGCCCTTTCCCGTTGTTCCTCCTCTCGTTTCTTGCCGTGCGCGCTTTTTGTTCTCCCCTCATCTGACTAGTCTTTTTTTTCTTACGCTGTTGCAGTGCGCCAAGTATTGCAAAATATGTCACGACGAGAAAAACACGAAGGCGTGCTGGCGGAACGAGTTGAAGCGCACCTCAAAGCATTTCCGTCAGAAGGTGAGTACGAGCTCGCGTAAGAAAAAGTGTGCCTTCGTCAACGCCTGTGCTACTCGAAACGAATCAGGGAATCGCTCCCTCGAATGCTTATAATCGCCTGGCCGCTTGTCCCGGTGTACTAAAGGAGGATTTTTGTAACGCAACGTCTTTTCTCGCTTACGTGAAGCAATCCTGAAAACATAAACCGCGCAAATACCTCTTCTCTTTCATCTACTGTAGAGATTGCTTTCTTAATTGCAATTCCGATAAACAAAAACAAACTATTTGGGGAACGAATTTTTCTCGCGAGGCTTCGTGACACGCACCAGTTACATTTGTGAGACTCATTCGGACTAACTTGCATAATTCACATGTACGAAAAAATTGAAGTATTTAATATAAAGGCAAATTGAAAAAATCACTTTTGAAAAGCGTGTATATGTGTAATTTAAAATGTTTTTTAAAATCACTTTTAAAAAAATAATTTTTCTTTATTCTTATTTTTTTCTTTATTCCTATCTATTATTAAAGTTTTTGAAAAATAGAATTTAATTTGTATTTGCTGTTAAAAAAAGATACAATACTCTAAGGAAATAAAAAAAAATTTCCTACAAAGTTTTCCTAAGTATATAATTTGAAGAGTTAATAGCGTATTTCTGATTTTAAAATATAAATACTCGATTACAAAATATCGTAGTAATTTTTACTACAAAATTCTCTCCGTGTTTATATCGTGCTACTATATAAATTTGTCTGGATAAGCCTTTACTGTCGCTCTCCCAACATCCAACTCGAAACGCGCAAACAAAATTGCACCGACAGGCTCGACTTCCGCATAAAAAATCAGGACCGATTTGAAAAGCGACGTTACACTGAATAAATGGCTTTCGTGCGTTTTCAAGCGCGACGGTAGCTGGTACGCTCCCAAATATTTGAAAGATGATTCCTATCTTTGTGTCGAGCGAGCGCGATGGAGCCAATGCGTTTTCCACGCGAGTCGACTCTACTCGATCTTCCGAGAAGATCGACAGGTAGTCCTTTTTCCAAGGATCCCGGCTCACAGGGTTCCCTCTTTCTACGCGAGACCGTTCTCTCCTTTCTTGTTCGGCGCCGTACAATCCGGACATTATCCCCGTAACAGACGCGAAGGAGCAAGAGGTAGAAAGAAAAAGAGAGAGAGAGAGAGAGAGAGAGAGAGAGAGAGAGAGAGAGATCTTCCTCGCGCTTGATCGACTAGTACGTTCAGTTCGCCTCGAGCTAACGACAAACTTAGGATATCGACCTGGATTGTACCTGACGTTAAAAAAGGATCAGAAATACGAGACCAAACGTCTGAAGTCTCACACGAATCTACGAGCCTCGCGAGAAAAAATCTCACACGGAGTCGAGTTAGATCGTTGTCGGAACAAGAGAAGTCATCATCTCAATCGCGAATGACGCGCAGAAAAACGTACAATGAAGAAACAAATCCGTTAGTGTGACTAAATTTCCCATTGTTTGAAAAGAATAAGGATTAGTTAAAAAACTCGGTCGTAGAGACAGAAAAATTCCTCTGTAGAAAAAAAATTCCTCTTTCTATTCACTCAATTGTTCCCGTTATCTTGGCCGAATTTTGAAGCGTCTGAATGTTCAGACGATGTCTCAGTCGCAGTAACAAAGATATCGAGTTTATCTTATCCCTTTTCAGTTACAAACTCTTTTCCTGTGTGTCAGCAGTAAAATTTAAGCGACGAGTAATCACTCAAGAATTGTCGAGAACAAAAGACTAGCAAAAGTTAGAATTTTCGATTGCGATTTGTTAATTCGCTCAAGTCTTGCTGCTTACGTTCTTCTGCACGGAGAAAAGTGATCTCAGTTCGTATAACTGAACAGAGAGCAGACGAAAATTCGGTTAGGAGAAATGGTATCTCTAAAACTAATACTTAAAACATTGACTTGAATATTTAGTTACATTAAAATTCGCTTGAAATGATTGACAGCAGTTGACTGATTAGAAACCTGCTTCTGTTTAAATAAGTTGTATCAAAGTTTAGTCACATTCAAACTTTGATTACATTGAAACTCGTTTATGATAACTGAAAGCGATTGGCTGATTAGAAACCTGTTCTGTTAAATAAATAGTATCAAAATTTAGTTACATTAAAACTTTAGTTACGTTATAACTCGCTTGAAATAACTGAGAGCAATTGACTCGTAAGAAACCTGCTTCTGTTAAACAAGCTGTAAAGTTTAGTTTTAAAACTCGATTGAAATAACTCAAAGCAATTGAGATGAAACTGAGTACAGGAAGAGGAATTCTTCTGCTTCTGTAAACCGAGTCTTCCGTCTAGCTCCTATTCTTCGCAGGCAACGGAAAATTCAGTTATACTAACGGAATTAATACTAGATTTGAGGCTTTCACGGCCATTGATACAATATCTAGGTATAGCTTCCGGAATGGAGCCGTATCTTGAATCAGCGATATAACGGAATTAACTTTTACCGTGTGTATCACGGTGCTCAGAAGAACGAACTCTAGAAAAGCAAACTAATGCACTAAAGAAGAAATGTCTGGTATGATTGTAATTATAATCACATAGAGAAATAATTATGGTCAAGAAAACTACTTTATTGTTATTAAATTTCGCCGTGATGTTAATGTGACAATAACCTTGTATGTATGTTACTACCATTTTCGCGTTGGAACAACTATGAAATACGATTAAAAAATAACTATAATATTCTGGTTAGATCAACCATTTTGTTCCCTCAGTGTATTATCGCGACTTTTATTCTTTTTCCCGTTTGCTATTCCCACGACACTACGATAAGTACACTCCTTCTTCCGTCTTCCTCGCTCACGGTCTTAATCACGTCTTCCTTTCTTTGCAGAGAGCATTACCAGAAGGCCAGTTGATCGCCTGCAGGTATTGCAAAACGCGGGAGCTCACGAACTACGAAGCGTCGATGCTACCAGCACCGGAGAACAAACCGATCTCGATGGGTCCGCACGACGTAGCTATCGTATTCCAAAGGGAATATCAGCGCGACTGGGATTTTCAGGACTTCTACTACGGTAGAAGTTTGACTGGCACGGTGCATCCGTGCTACTGGATCATCGTCGTCACGTCGGAAAACAGTCCTCGGCATTACTCTTGGCAACAGTGGGTGCCGAACTTGGAGTCGCTCAAGGAGGGCCCGCTGGTCGAGGCGACCATTTCGTGGCGGAACGCGAGCGAACAGCTGCAATTCCAACAGAAACACGAAGAGACGAAGATGATGCAAGACCATAAACGTCACTTGCAGCTATCTAGCGAGAACGTGCTGAAGATGACCATCGACAACAAGACGCAGCGCGCCTTGATCCAACAGCTCTTCTGGAAGCCAGATGCGTCCGAGCGCAAACTGAGCCGAAACAAATATTGGGCCAGGTTCTCCCAGAAGTGTCGCTACTACATCGACGACGGCGACAGCAGCAAGTCGTTCGTGGTCACCTGGGGCCCGGAGACCGGCGGCCTCACCGGCAACCAGGTGACCGACGGCGACTCGGCGCAGATCTCGCTGCTGCCAGGCGTCAAGTACCAAGTGAGAGTCGCGTCCAACAACGGTCCCGGCAGCTTCCCCATCATCATCGACACTCGGCATTTCGCCAATCACACCCCGCCTTCTCCTCCGGCTTCGTCTTCCTCCGTCTGCGAAGGCATTTGCTGCGTGAAACTGTTCGCCTACACCGGCTGGCAATACGTCCTGGTCCTTTTCTTGATTGCGATCCTATTGTATTGCTATATCTGGGTGAACTCGTGGCGCACGAAGAAACTCGTCCAGACGTGGGAGAAAGCATAAGCGGAGAGGAGGACTACACTCTTCAAGATCTTCGTTCATAGCGAAGACAGACTACTCAGGGATCTACCACCTTACCGTTCAGCGACCCCGGCGACAGGTCGGATAGAGCGGATAGTCACTTTCAACGGCGTGCGAGGAAGACGGAGCTTTGTCCGTCGCGAGGACGTTTTTGAACGAGATTTTTACACGGGCAAAACGTTTGATTGAATTAACCAAATTCTTAGTGAAAAATATTAACAAACCAGAAAATTCCAGTTGGAATTATTAGAATTCTGTTCGAGTTAACTAGAAATCTCGTCAACTTGAACGGAATTCTGACAACTTCAACTGGAATTTCGAATTCGTTGATAATTCATCCGAAACTTGGTCGATCCAACCAAACTCTTTTGTCTGTGTGATCTACCGTTATACCTCAGAGTAAATCTTGCGGTTTCGAGACTGATTCCTCGAACTCTCGACAAAAAAGGAAGAAATCCTCTCTCGCAGAGAGAGGATCGGAAATACCACGAGAACTCGTGGAGAAACGAGAACGGGAAATCTTCTCAGAGGAAGATACGCGATTGTCGTGAAACGAACAAGCTTAACGTGCTTCTGATTGTGATTTAAGGAGGTGACTCGTGCGCACTTCAGACGCTCGTAATTTGAAGATGCAATTTCCTCTGCCTTTGTACAAAGGGTACGAGGCGTTGCTCTTCTTTATTTTTTTTTCGAGACTGATAACTATACGCCCGATCTCAACGATCGACGCTAATATTACTGGATTGTTGGATACTATTTTTGTAACTAAGGAGGGGATGGCCACGCGTCACGGACGGTCCAGCTTACAAATTTGGATGGAAGCTCAACGATAAGTACAGGCTCGTAGCCGACGCTAAAGGGGATGAGGACGGACAACAGTGAGAATGTTAACGAGAACTGACACAATAGTTGAATAGTGCGTATTCGCGCGACAATAGCCACGGCGACAATGCTTGTGGGTGCGTATTTCAAAGTGTTGTACGCAATGCACTATTTCACGGTCGTTGCATTCGAAGCAGGAGCAATGTCCCCTTTTGCCCTCCCATGGCTGCGGTTATGGACACAGGTATACGAATAGCGATAGCTTTTTAGCCGAAATTGTACAGTTTCTCGGGTGATATATTTTTTACGTAGAAAAAAAAATAGAGAACACGAAAATGGACTAGAACCGCCATTCTTGCTCAATGCGCAACGAACAGACTGTACAAGAGTTCCTATCACCGAAGAATCGGCAGCAACGAGCGCGCGTCGCGCACTGTATTTATTTGTAAATAGTCGCAACGTAACCTGTAAATATTTAGCGAAATAAAGGTAAGAGTCGAAAGCCAGAAGCGACAATACTTGTCTTACTTTGTTCCCCCCTAATCTTCCATTTTTCATTCTCCTTTTTAGTTTTCGTTTACATAAAGACGTAAGTAAAAAATAGCCGATTTAAATTTCTATATTTAAATATCTTCTAATTTTTGTTCTTTGTTCATATTCAATATATTATCTTATTTATATATATTTATGTATTTTTCTTTATTCATTTATGTGGTGGTTTGTTCATTTATTTATATTTCGTATATTTTATTTTACATTTATTTATATTTCGTATATTTTATTTTACATTTATTTATATTTCGTGTATTTTATTTTACGCGAGCCTGAGTGAAAAATTCGCAACAGAGAATTTTAATGAAAGCTAGAAAAGCGCGATAATATTAATGTTTTACTTCAACCCCCTAGTCCTCCATTTTTAATATTCTTTAGTTTACGTGAATAAAAAAGTACCGCGCGCGATTTAAGTTACTTTATGTATCTAAATATCTTTTAATCTATTCTATTCATATTAATTGCAATTTTTTATAAACGTATTAAGTATACATATTTTTATTTATTTATATACATTCATATATTTTGTATGTGTATTTCATTTTCACGCGAGCCTAAGTGAAAAATTCGATAGACGACACAGAATTTTAACGAGCAGAAAAGAGGACATCGAGATGCCGGGGACATAAAATATATTCTTTTCTACTCTATAATCTTTCTCTCTCTCTTTCTCCCTCCTTCTCTTCTCGACTCTTCTTTTTCGCCACCATCTTGTCGCCATGAGAGAGACCCCGAAGTGCGTTGAACCCTGCTGCGCAAATGACGGGCTCACGGTGAGTCGACGAAAAAGTCGACGGGGAGCTGTACCAGGCGCACGAACGAACGAACGCACTACGTACACGCACGCACCCATACGTACGCGCACGTACGTACACAACGGCGAAAAGTGTGTCGTGGCCTCGAACAAGGTCCCGTTATCCTAGGCTTCGCCTTGAACGTCTTCGTTCTCCAGTCTTGACTCGGAAGTCAAGCGAAGATGATACCGCTGCTATTCGCCTGCTGCCTCGGCTTCCTCGTCGCTCCTTATCAGCTCGCACCATCGGCGAACAATGGTCTAATCGGCGTCGGGGCGCTCACCGTGGTGAGCGTCGGATTCGCAGCCGGGCCCAGGTACGCTCGTAAATTGGCGATAGGTTGTCGAGTGCCTCAATTATGGGAGTGTGTGCGTGTGTATGTGAGAGAGTGTGAGAAAGAGTTGAGAGAGAGAGAGAGAGAGAGAGACAGAGACAGAGAAAGGAACCCGTCACGATTAAAAATATCCCCCGAGAAAGATCAATCGCGACGAGATGACACTTGACACGATTTTTTATCGATCTAAGAATTTTCGGCACTTTAGTAAGATTCGTTATTCAGGTACGTCCCGAAATGGAAGAAGCAAGCGTGCGAAATACCGGCATCCCAACACCCAAATTCGCATTACATCTGCGACGAGGCTGGTGAAGTAAAATGTTTGCCAGGTATGAAGCTCAAATAATGTAATGGAATTTCTTTTCGCCGGGGAAAACGCATAGTTGGTAGAAAGCAATTTTAGAATTAAATTAAATTTCAAACACAAGTGCTTCCAGCAAGAGAAAGAAATAAAACAATTCGCATGTAAATCTCGTCCCATCGCGCAAATATTAATTCACTGTTAAACTGGAATGTCATTAATATACGAAAAGAAATCGCAGTTCGTGAAACGAAATAGTGAGCCGACAAAAACTCGGTGATGAAAAATAGTATCTTCATTATCGTGAATGCAAACTTTCGTCTACATACATTTAACTGTCCTAAAATTCGGTTGAGATAAATGAAAGTAATTAATAGTAGTCAGTGACTTTATGGAAATTATCTACTTGTTCATAACACCTAATTTATCATCTTCATTAATACTAGCAATTAAAAAGATATCCATTTTCTATCTTTTTTTTCACTGTGTTTCATTCTTTATCAATACGCGTATATCAATTTTTCTCAAAGAATATACTTTATAGAATATATTTTTTAAATTTGGTATTTACACATAAAAGGATTTTCCTATTCCTACAGTCGAGTTTTCATCTGGTCATTTAAACTATATTGAAAAAAGGGATTCGATTACAAATCGAAACAAAAATATGATATACCAAACTAAAATTTTGTTAAAATTAGATCAATCAAAAATTTGATAACCGTAACCAAAATTATTTGTGTTGTGTGTATGTCATATATACCAAAACGTTTTATTGCCACTATGTGCGTTTTGCTTTTTCAATATATGTATTTGAAGTAAAAACATAATGATTCAGGTCTCAGCTATGCCGATTTTGTTAAAATTTTAATTAAAAATGCCAGATTTCGGTTTGGCCGAGATTCGAATCATTTTTGACTAATTTAGCACAGATTTAAAATATTTCGGTTGGAATCTCGGCTAAAGAAATTTAGAATGATTCGTGTCTCAACTATGCCAATTTTGTTAAAATTATTTAACTATTACTTATTGAGTCAAGTAAAGTGTATTTAATATATTAAAGTAAATATTATATTAAAGTGAAGAAGCAAGACACATGAAAGCGGCAATTGAATGTTTTGGTTTTACCAAACATTTTTCTTGATCCCATTTTAACCAAATTTTAGTCTATCAAATTTTCGTTTCAACAACAAAATTCTCTTTCAGTGAAGAATATTGAACAGCAAATTAGAAAAAAATGTAAATGTCTCTGACACAATGTCACAATAACGAAGCATTATTCGCGTTTAGGATGGACGGGTGATCTCTGTGATGTACCGATTTGCCGAAAGGGTTGCGACCCCCTTCAAGGCTACTGCCGACGGCCCGGGGAATGTCGGTGCAAGTTGGGCTTCTACGGTGACCTGTGCGACAAGTGCGTGGCCTTGCCGGGTTGTCAGCATGGAAGGTATGACCAGTCGATATGCAACAATGCGATGTGGGGAAAGTACAGTTCGACACGCATATGAATTTTTGATCAGTCCGCGTAATTGTAAGGAACGCGTTTGTCTCAAACGCGGATGCATCTTGCAAGAGGATGAAACTGATACACGAAGAGAACTTTATACCAAGAACTACTATAGGATTATAACAAAAGTTACTATAGGATAATTAAAAAAAACTCCATTATTATTTTTCATCCACATTCTATATCAATATTCATGGTAAGACACTTAGAAATTTTTCTCAAAAAATAGGATTTGTAGAGTCCATTTTTTATGCTCGACACGAGATTTTATAAGTTTGGGAATTTTATCAGAATTTCTGATTTTACTGAAATGTATTAAAAATATTTTTAATACTTTCGACGTTTCTCTTTCGGTTTAGTTACATTTGTTACGGAGTTCACGAAAATCAAGTGTCATAGCCGGTCTTTCGTCGATGTCTCGCGCGGCTGATAACCCAATAACGATTAGAGCACCTACGCGTGGCCGCAACCAATTGATCACGCAATCCACATACACTCGTAAAATCAATTCTACGGCGAACAACGGGTTCGATCGGGTCGACTTCGCTTTCACCTGGGGGCGAACTAGCTAGCTGTCGAGCGAGCAAACGAACGAACCTAATGCGAGTCTAATTTCCGTATAACACGAAACGCTTCCGCACGCGTGCGCGCACGATTTCGTGATCACAGATCGATAAAATGACCGAGTAGTTCGACAGCTCGATCGACACACTTGAGATCAAGCGTGATTCTCGTTTTCAGATGTAATGTGAGCTTCGAGTGCTCCTGCGATCCCGGTTGGAAAGGCATGTTCTGCTCCGAGCCGATCTGCGCGCCCGATTGCCTATCCAGCCAGGGCTACTGCGAGAAACCTGGCGAGTGCAGGTAATCGTTCGCTTGCCTCTTTATTGCACATTTACAAGATATCACTTACAAGATAGCAGGAAAATTTATTCTCCGGAATTTTTATAGAAAGACGAAAAAATCGAATAATGTCAAACTCTGTATATTCTTTTAAGTGATAAAAACTCTAATGTCAAAGTCTGTATATTTGTTTAAGTGACAAAAGCTCTTCTTTTGCACTTGTGTTCTCATTACTAGGAGCTCGCAAAAAAATCTATATAATATACAAAAGAAGAGTATTTTTGTTACTTGAATAATAAAAATGTTTTTTAAAATAATGCTCAAAGAATGTGCAAAAGTTTGATGTTATTCGGCTTTTTCGTTTTCCTATTAAAAATTCCGGGAAAGTATCCTTTCTTGCAATCTTTCAATCCAGAATATTCCCTTAATCGATTAAAATTTGCCGAATAACTATCAAGATTGATTAATTTCGTCATATGTAAAATCATAAATAATTTCATCGATTAATGAAATTATTTCTAATTTTATGTTATTTGTAATTGTAAGTTTATATTACAAATATGTTGTTTTACTAATAATCAGTAAACTAACAACTCGTCTTAAAAACTATTAATCACATTTTGATACGACTGATTACACACTGATTAATAATTAATTTCACCGATTGATCAAATTATCCGCGATTATATATACGACAATTGTAATTATTAATTGATTAATTGTAATTATTGATATGCAGATTATCTTAATCAAAGAAAATTTTAATCGGTTAAAAAGCACTTTGCTTTATTTTATTTCGTTTTACTTTGTTTTATTGAACTTTATTCAAAACTTTCCTTGAACATAAAGAAATATAAAAATACCGAGCCATTTACCACGTCAAGCTGTGTGTCAACCGATGCTGCATTCATTACGAACAGCATTTTTATTTTTAACATCATTTCTTTTGTTGTTAACACTCTCTAATAATCTGTTTTAGTCAATGGCTGCGTTCAGCAGAGAAAGCTGCTTTGCAACTGTTGTAAAATTCGTGAATCTGATTGGAGTATGCTCTTAATTTTGGTTGAATGCAAGAGCATGTACCAATTAGATTTACGAATTTTAAAACAGTTGTAAAGCAGCTTTCTCTGCTGAACACAGCCATTCTTAGTATAAATAAAATATATCACTGCCCGAGATCCCCGGGCGGAGATTCGTCGGCAAATCAGAGGCTAACGTGTTCTTTCTTTCAGATGTCGCCTGGGGTGGCAGGGCCCTAAGTGCAAACAGTGCGCTGTGTTGCCGGGATGCGCGCATGGGACCTGTCAAGGACCCTTAGAGTGTCGATGTGATCCGGGTTGGACTGGGCTGCTTTGTCAAACACGTGAGTGTTGCACCCTGCCCCCTTCGCCCCTCTGACAAGCAAACAGGAACCGAAACCTCTTCAAACCGAACGACCAACCCTCTCTAAAATAAACGGAAACGTGATGTGATCACCAACGCGATCCCGCGACGCGACGTACGACGGTCCTCTTATTTTTCTTCCACTCACAGAGACTGAAACGGAATCCTACCCCGAGCATCTACAGGCACTCGTCGCTACTTTGACAACGTACTAAAAAGAAAATATACAACGTACGAACGCTCGTTCGAGACCACGATATTCGAAGTCGCGCGTGTCTGCCGATCGCCGGAAATAGATCTCGCTTTCCAATCGTGAAGTGACACACTCGGTAGAGTGGAGAGCGATCGTTACATTTATATTTAACTTGACGACTTGACGAAGCGATATGTAATACTTTGTACGTTCTTCTAAACAGGAAGGAGTACGATATAAGCAATTTTTATAATTATCTCACTTCTAGCGTGTTATTTTTTAATGGCAGATTCTTTGACGGAGTTAAAGTGAAATTTTTCAGAGGAGAATTTTGAACCACTTATGATGGCATATTAAAAGCGACTCAAAAGGAGGATCTTTCTATGGAGAGCAAAATATATTGAGAGAAAAAATATCTAAGAAATAAAAAAATCTTTGATGGATACCACGATATCACACATATTTACTTAAATTCTTTTATCTGAATAGAATAAACAGTTGCTTCTTATGAGAAACTTTTAAGAAAAAGATTTCAAGAAAAAATATATTTTCTCATTTTCAAGAAATATTTTATATTAAAATAAGTAAATATATGTCGTTAGTATCCACTGAATAGATATTTCTTATTTCTTAGATATTTTTTCTCTCACAGTGTAGATTCTAATAGTACTTTTCGACTAATTCAGATGAAGTTTACTTCACGAAAGAATGTTTTATAATTTTCATCATAATGTCAGTCTATTCCCGGAGTACTAAAATTGTATGGTAATTTTTATTACAATATTCTCCCCGTATATTCTTGTCCAATGTTCAGAAATTGAACAATTATTGGACAACTGGAACGAACTGGATTACCTTGATACTTTCTCGGAGAAGAGATCGTCTCTAAATTGTCCCGCTACTGAATTCCAAAAGATCTGCTGTTAAAATAATTCACGGTAGACGTGAGACACCCTGTACAGGCAGTAAAAGAATAACGCAACGGAAATAGCGGTCACTCGCCGATGAGTTCGCCCCGAGTTACCAATTCCAATCGCAATCGCGGATGATCGCGAATTGATTTCCCGAGCTGCGAGTACGTCAGCGCAACCGCTCTCATGCGCGTTTCTCACCGCGGATTGCAGCGATCTGCGCGCAAGGGTGCAGCCGGAATCACGGCGGCTGCCGGCAGCCGGGCACATGCAGATGCCGCACCGGCTGGACCGGTCCAAACTGCACCGAGTGCGTCCCGTATCCCGGATGCGTGCACGGCTCGTGCAAGCGACCGTGGGAGTGCCGTTGCGAGCCCGGTTGGGCCGGCGATCTGTGCAACGAGAAACTGACTTACTGCGACGAGCACCCGGGCGTCTGTCAAAACAACGCGACCTGCATCAGCATGACCCACGAGGACGGTAATTACAGGTGAGATCACGAGCAGATCGCGACTCAAGCGTGACTCGGTTTAGCGAGACGGAAGCGAAACGCCGCCGAGAGTGCGGGCTTTCGCACATGAATTGTCGTGAGCATAAATATAAGACGTAAATCTTGCTTACAAGGAAATGTAGTTTGCTATTCAGATTCGAATACGACCCGTGTTATAGAATATGGAAAAATAAGGCCCGGTTGTGCCAACGTTATTTTGGTTTTTTAAGCAAAACTTTTATATGTCTGACTTTATTTACTTAAAGAACAATAAATACATGTTTAAGTTCCGCTTAAAGTCAAGATAATGTTGGTGCAACCTAAGACATATATATTTCTTTTTATCGGCGGAAAAGGAGTGATATCAGGCTCCGAAATTGGGAGTGTAATCAACTTATTTTATAGTTTCCTATAGAACTCGTTGTCCGATTTGAATGAAACAAACGCTAAAATATTTCTTTTAATAGTTGCAAAATTATTATTACACGATTTTTACAAAAATTGATGTTTGACGCGGGTGATTTAGCCCCATACAAAGGACAAACATTTTTGCATAAAATATCTTGCAACCCTCGTTAAAAGAAATATTTTGGCGTTTGTTTCATTCAAATCAGACAACGGCTTCTATAGGAAACTATAAAATAACACCTCAGGGCCTAAATGATCCAAGTGAGAGGCGTTTGAAGTGAGATAAAAGATGAGATTCATTTGATTCGAAATGTTTCCAAGTTATGAGAAGTTATGATCGAAAGGAGGAAAACACGCCGCACGCGATACACTGATTCTTTATCTCCTGTCTATCGATGATTTACGATCGCTTCTAGATTAATTTAGATTGCTCGACCAGAGAAAGTAAAGCAGGAAGAATAGAACAAAGTCGGCTGCCATTGTACCTGCGCTGTTATGTAAAATGAGATGTATATAGAGCTACTTAAATAATCGCTCGATATAATGATTTGTGAACTACTTTGGCGTAAATAACAGGATTACCGCGCAATCTATGAAACATTCAACGTCTATTACTACATGAAAAAGTTAATTTTGATTCTCACAAGAATCTAATTATGTATGTAATGATTAAGGGAAGTATAACCCATTCAATTGAGACTATTGTCTGAAACTTTAAACAAAAACAGCGTTCTTGAAACGTCCAATCAGAGCAAGTAAAAGAAGGGAAATAAAGGCAACTATAGGAGCAGACGCTTTTGTTTAAATATTAAATATGTCATTTAATCCTTGAATAATATATTTATTTAGTTTTTCCAATATTGAGATAATTTGTGATCTCGCTCCAGCGACGTTTGCTCTTAGTTGCTTTTGTCTGCTCTTCCTTGCTGCTCCGATTTACAAATATTGAGTTGAGTACACGAGATTTAGATTACGACTTTCGAGACCAAATCACTACGAATGTGCGCATTTTTTTCGCGTCAGGTGCATCTGCCCGCTGGGATACATGGGCCGACAGTGCCAAATAAAGACGACGGTGCCGTCGACGGAGCTGGTACCGCCGATGCCCGACACCAGCGGCAACCTGGGGCTTGCACAGGAGGCGCAGGACCTCGCGGACAAGCCGAGTATCGAGGTAGCGTCGAGCGAGGACAAAAAAGTGCCCGTTAAGGCAGAGGAAGTGACCGCGGAGCCACTCGGGCCTATCGTCATCACGGACCCGCCGACCACCGTGGATCCCGCCGCGACCGCGGGAAAATGGCCCACGGAATCGGCCACGGAGTCGTTGGAGAGAGACGACGAGAACGAGACATGAACAGCGAGAGAGAGAGAGAGAGAGAGAGAGAGAGAGAACGCGATTCTATTTATCTCAGTTTTATTTATTTATTTTATTAACCCTCCCTCTCGCGTCTGAACATGATGGTCCTCGACGACCACTTCGTTCTGCATCGCGAAAACTGTATCGTTGTGAAACGAGATGTTCATGTAATCATTTTCTAATTAAATATACACACTGGAAGAAAAAATGTGTAAGAAATAAAAAATATGAAGTACTTATTCGGGTACCAATAACATATATTCACTTATACTGGTATAAAATATCTTTCAAATAAGTTTTGATAAGACATACATCTTAAAAACTTATCAAAGAAATCGTTTATTCTATTTGAATAGAAAAATTTGGACTTAAGTGAATATGTATTGTCAGCATCCGCCGAGTAAATGTCTTTTATCTTTAGATAATTTTTTCTCCAGTGTAAGAATATCTATTTTATTATGTAAAACCAAAAAAGACACTGGATAGTTTTTGTCACGGGTACGAGAAGATTCACATTCGTTTTGAAGTACACTAAAACCCGTGAAAAGCGCGATATTTCTGCTTAATGAAATATTTATCCTCCCGATCTTCCTTACTAACTTGTTAGCATTGTTAATGAAATGTGCAATAAAGCAGCGGGGATGTAAGCGGAGTTTCGTGCAGTTATTTCTCCTCCAGACAAATGCGCACGTTTTTTACATCAACTGCGAGACATAAAGGCTCGTGACTTTATATACCGCAATTCACATCGGTGCAGACTCGGATTTAGCGATTATTCCCGGCCGACCGATCGGTCCCGCCACGCCGTTCGGGAAACATTTTTCGTTTTCTACCGCCGAATGTCATTGTGTGGGCGAGCGGAGATCCTGGATCGCGAGTAGGTAGGATCGCATTTTCGAGAAAGCGGCCGTCCGGACCGGCTGGCGTGTATCTCGGGCCAATTATTGGCAGGACGTGTAAGCGGCGTAACGTATGTACATATAGTACTCTCGGGTATGTTCCACGAGAGACAAAGACGGAGAGAGAGAGAGAGAGAGAGAGAGAGAGAGAGAGAGACGCGGGTCCGCGCCTAGATACATAAAACGGTCGCGCGCCAGAGCAAAGTCACGCTCCAATGATCGCGATCGCGATCGATCGTTCCTCGCCATGTGCATGTGCCGTTTTCACGGATACGCTGCCGTCCGGCTTCCCACATAATCGAGCACAACGAGCGAGCAGTTACACGTTCGCTTACGTAACGTGACGACTGCGTTTCGCAGCCCTCACGATTCAGCGCGGCGTTCGCGAAGGGACTCCCGCGAAATGTGGGAAACGTCGCGATGTACGCCCTCGGAGGCTTAGATACGATAATTCTGCTTTCGAAATTTCTCAGAGTGAGAAGTGGTATTTTCGCTCGAAGCGATGGAGTGAAAATATACCGCCAAAGGATTGCCGCATAGTCCGCGCGATCTATGAAACGTTTAACATTTATTACTATTGGTGAGAAATGAAATCGAGTCTATTACTATTACACTGAGAAAAATAGCGGTTGGATTGACAAAATCGGCGATCATCAAAGAAACACTGAATCAATTCAACAAAATACAATGTTAATGCAACAATAAGTTGCGTCGATATAGTGATTTAATTGACCCAATGTTTCTTTGATGGTTGGTGACCGCCGATTTGGTCAATTCAACCGCCTTTTTTTCTCAGTATAGTAATAGATAATCATAGCTGAAAAATATCCCGCGAAGAATATTGCTGAATATTCTTCATTGAAGAGTTTTGCTGTGATCATTCAACTGTGATTAATTTCTCGTAAAAATTTAATTTATTTGTCTCTGTTACTTGTCTGTGTTACCTCCTCTTCTTGACCAAACTAAAAGTTTGATTATTCTGACTAACTCGAAACTACAAAAACGAATGTTTCATTCAAAATTAGAGTAAATTTTTATTTTAATTCGCTCTACATGAGCGAATATTGCAATCGACTGGAATGAAGACGGTCGAGAATGCGTCAGATTCACTCTTCAATTTTGAAAATATTTATTAAACAATTCAATCTGTAGGAGTAAAAAGTAACTTAAATTTGAGTGACTCAGCCTCAAAATTTATGCGTGATAAAAAGTTCGCCGAGAGACATAAGCTTAGAGAGAAAATTAGGTATCCATTATCTCTCCAATATGTTTCTGTATATCATTTCATTATGTTTTGTTGTATTGCGTATTTCGTATCGTACGGGGAATATGATGAAATAAATTGCGCGGCAAAAATCGCGCAGAAACCAATGTGGATTCGATATCGAAAAAGCGACGTTTCGTATTAATGTTACCCGATTGGAAATATCGACTATTATCTAGACCCCGAGTCGAATCAACTCTCTCGTTTTCTCTTTTTCCTGTATTTTCCAGTGACGCTTAATAAGCGTTTATTTATAGCGTGACCAGATAACGAACGGATCACGAGATTTACGTTCGATCAAACGACTGCATTGCGTCACACTGTACAGGTCGTTCAAATGACAGCGAGTCACACCTTAAGATTCACCAAGTGTGAATTCCACATTTATTCATACTAAAGCTCTTCCCCACGCGAAATATCCAGAAGAAAAAACCGTTGCTCATCGCAATTTCGCTATATCTAGATTGCATTCCAAAACGTCCTTTTTGAGGAAATTTTACTCTATAGTATATATAACGTGAATTATAGCTATTAAGTAAAATTTTCCTCAAAAAGAACGTTTTGGAATGCAAGCTTAACATCTCTGTAATTTAAAATTCGTGACATTATAGACTCGTTGGAATTCAAATAAAATTAAACAAGGGTTTACTCCGTTTCAGCTTAATCTTTGTTACTGACTGAAAACATTTTGAGCTTAGCTCCCAGGAACTCTCGCCATTTTTAGTCGCCCGTGACACAAAGACACATCGTCACCTCGATGTTTTTATACTGAAAAATAATCCTTACCAAGTGATACACGCTGATTTTGTTTATTTTTCATAGTTTGATACAGCATCCTGAAAGATGATCATTAAAAAATCAGTTCAAAATCGATCTCTGCACTTATGCGAGGTTTCTTTCATTTTAATAACGCTGTAAAATATTTCATCAATAATAATAAACATTTTCTGACATGATCTGTGCCAAGCCACAAAAGATAAGAGAAATTAGCGTGTATCAGTTAGTGAAGGCTGTAAGGGAGGATCGATCTAAAATTGTACGAGGGATTCACGTGGACGAAAGCCAATTGCTTGGATAGACTTGAAACAACCTGTAGACTGAAATGTTGCCATGACATGTGCTCGAGTTTGCTTCCTCCTTCGTAAAAGATCAATTTGCCGCGGGTATCGATCGACAGAGCAACCCTTCCGATTCCGCGTCTTTTGTTTGTACGTCGCGAGATCTATTACGATAAAATAACTTTCTGCATATATATATATATATATATATATATATATATATATATATATATATATATATATATATATATATATACACGCTATAT